AAAGAAAAGAAAAGAAAAGAAAAGAAAAGAAAAGAAAAGAAAAGAAAAGAAAAGAAAAGAAAAGAAAAAACTTCTGATTAAATGGAAAGATAGGAGTACTCAAATCTGTGTTGGGATAGAAACCTTGTGGCTTGGTGTATGTATGCCTTGTCTGTGCATGTGAATGCACATGAGAGAGACAGAATATATATAAACAAATTACTTTGCAGTGTGAAAATATTGAATTAAAAGAAAAACAGAGGGGTTTAGGAGCATCTTGTATTTAACTCGAGCTCTGGAAAGTAATCTCTCCCAGTAATCTCTCTTTAACAGATTCAAGTGGAAGAAAGCCAAGTTGTTTAGTTGCACAATAGGTTGCAATCATGTGGGAGAGTTCCCAGTTGGGAGTTGAAAACTGAAAACCTGACATGCATAAGTGAATGAAGCTACCCTACATGATGTGTTGATTTAAAATTTTCCCCCCTCCTTAAAAGTACAGCTGGGCTTCTGCCTTTGTCTGGGTACGGAAGAGGCAACACTTTGTGAGACGGAAAATAAGTATTAAATTGACATTTTGGATGTCGGTGATAATTTGTACTGACATTATGAATATTGCTTGATCCAAGTGGGCACTACAAGAGCCAAATTTAATAGACTATAGTTGTAATTTCCTGCCTTGCAGACTGCAGAGATGTTCCAGTGTTCCTTCACAACAACAATCAGGGATTACTAAAAAACAAGTCCACAGGATTGGGGGAGGATTGAAAGGATTAATGGACTATGACAAAATTGCACCTGAGGGGGAAAATCTGTAGCAGTTTTTGTATGGTGTTGTGGTAGACGAGGCAAATTGGCAATTGCTACTGATCTTTACACATGCATGTCTTCAAAGAAAGTGTGTGAAAGTCAAATGGAATCCAGCTATGTGGCTAAGGCTGTCATAAACATTTATGTCATCAACTGCATAAATCACTTAATACTATCATTTTGAGTATTTCCATGATCAACTATATTAAACATCAGTAGACTGTAGGCCCTGTTCTAAATCATTTTTTATTCTGCTCTAACCGCTTATCCTGCTAAACTAAATCCTAAAAAAGATTAAAATGTAGAGTTAGCCTAACCCTTCTTCTCAAGGATAATTAAGGAATAGTTCTGTTTAGGAAGAAGGTTTTCAGCTTTAGAACTTTATACATATATATATATGTATACTTATATAAATTGTTTTGTAGTCTTCATTTACATTCTAAACCAATGTTAAATAAAACCCGTTCTATCCCTCTAGTAACTATTAAAAGCAACAATAACAGTCTTAGCTGAAAGTTATTATGAGATATTGATGTATATTTAATAAACTATTTACTGCTTACATCAAAAGTTTGTAAACTGATACTTGGTTTCTTTTTTCACTGGCTTAAATCAAGGATGCCACCACTACTGATGGTAGATTTAATCAAATGTAAACAAGGAGAAGCAAGAGCAGAGCTATGCAGCTGTTTTTAAGAACTCTAACTTTTTTTTGGAAAAGAGCTTATCTATTACATACTGTTTATTACTGTAAGAAAAATTGAGATTTGTTTTTGACTTAAGCATGACGGTTTTAGATTAACAGATAAACTTAAACCTTCAAGAAATGTTTCTTTTTCCCAGTTTGGTACAAACATTTAAAGATTAAGTTTTGTCTGTGTAGATTAATGCTAGAGAGAGAAATTTAAAGAAATAAAAATCGCAACCATCAGTTGCTGTCTGAGGTCGTCTCTCATGTATTGTGAACTGTTTAAGGAAGCTCTTCTTTAGCAGCGCTGGCTGAAGATCTTGTTATTATTTAGATTTGTTACTACAAGAACAGCAAATGATTCATTAATTCCATTAGCCGACTTTTCTGCACACTGGGAAATGTGAATGTAATTGTCAAGTATTCCTACTGTATACTTAAGCTGTCAAAGATGCTGGAAGGCTTCAGTTATCCTCTTTGAAGGTACCAGTTAGGAAGGGGTGGGCTATTTTGTGTCTTTAAAACAGAAATGGGAAAAAAAATGTGCCACATGATATAAGCTAAAAGATTTATTTTTAACCAAAAGTGACATTGTAATACAAAAGCAGGATTCTGACTCATAAAGCTTCTGCACAGATTTTATTATTATTATTATTATTTATTTTTTTTTTAAGACATCTAAAAAGTACAGTCTGTCAGTGTGCCATCATTGTTTTCCCTAAACCTGTCTTGTCTCTTGGAGCCACGCCAGGGAATTCTCCTTTCTGTTCTCTTTGGATTCCTCAGTCAATCCATAATGTCTCATACTGCGTACTGCTGCGTGTTGTAGACAGGTGGGTGCAGCCTGATACAAGTTAGAAGGGATGTTGCACTCTTCTTGCATGCACGTAAGGCATAATCAGGGTGCATTTTTTTTAATGAACTGTCTGGTAGTTTAGCATACAGAAAAAGTGAAAAATGGCGTTTCCTTACAAGCATTTCTTCCCATTAAGAGGGATAACCACCAAAATCTAGTTACTGCATTTTAGCATGGAGGAGCAGAATTTGAGAATTAGGAACTCAGCCAAATCTAGATTACATCTGAATTGGAGTGTCTGTCTAAGTGATCACTGCTATTGAATAGTGGTTTTGCACAGAGAGAATAAAATTCTTTCCGTAGAACAGACAGTTATATTGAAAATACAGTAAGGCTGTTGGGCGCAAGAGGCTTTTTTAAGTGAAGACCAGGAAAAGTACTTGAGCCTTCCATTTTCCCATGTGCTTAAAAAAACCTAGCATGCTCTCTTCCAGAGGTCTTAATGTCCCAAAATTCTTTGATGGTGTTTTAAAATCCTCAGTTTGTAATTACAGATTTCAGCATATTGCTTTTATGCTAGCAATAAGGAATGCAAAGCTGCCTTGACCTCTGCAATGCTTTGAGCTGTTCAGATAGCACATTACAGAGTGGTTAAACATAACTCACATAACCCCATCATTCTCTAGTTGAAAGGATAGTAAATTTTTAAATTTATTATCAACTAACTAATTTTATGGTATGCTTTTTCCACAGTTTAAATGGCAGTCCCACATCCCCTATACATGGTTTGTTTAGTTTTGGTGTTGAAAACTTCACTTTCTCTTTAATGGTTTAATTTTGTATCATGCCTATAAAATAATTAGTAGGTTGCTGCTCACTCTTAGGTCCTGAAAGAGGAAACACATTTTACATACTTCTTAAGATGTAACTTTGTCACAGTGTGATGCTTTTTCTCTAAAATATCAAAAACAGAGAAGGAGGTCCATCTATTGGGTAAATTTTCCCTATGTGTGTGATATAGTGTAATGAGTAATAAGTGTAAAGCACTTGATGTGACAATTTTCTATATAATGATTATGCAGTAGTTAGTAGCCACAATATACTATATTACTCCTGTTATGTATTTTGGAGGTGGACATTATGGATTCATAACATGGTTTAACTTGTATAAGTTGTATCAGTTTGTCTGAGGGATACTCTTCCCCCAGCTTGAGAAATACGAACTTACAGTGTTGATTTTTTGAATCTTATGAGCCACTACAGAGTGGAAAATATTTAAGGATAGCAGTGTATGTACTCCTGTGTGTTACTGAGTGTTAAATAAGCAATCAACTGATTATTAAATAAACTAATATATATATGATGCATTATATTTATGCAAAAAAAAAAAAAAAAAAGCTGCAAAAATCAGGTGAAGTGTTTCACTCACTGTAGTAATAGGTACCATTGCTATGTATTTATCTATGCATAGTTTAGGAGAGAAGAAGATGCTGTTAATGATTCTGTAATATTTTCTTCATTGTAGTGGCCATTGAGTTAAATAAGAATTCACTGGTGTGTATAGTAATGAATCTTTAAAACTATCATTTCTAATCAGTGTTGGACAGTGGAAATAAAAAGGTATCCTCTTAAAAATGGACCTTTGTACACTTTGAGTTAAAAACTACATAAAAAGGATATAAAGTAGTTGTACATTCAAAATGTATTAAATTCCATTTTTGCTTTGCTATATTTTGTAAAACATTTCCATTGTAAACAGTATGCCTCTCACACATGTCAAATTGAAACTCTTTATTTAAAAAATATATACCTAATGTAATTAGAAGCTTATTGCACTCTCATAAATGTATATATTGTGACTTCAAAAAAAGTCTGTACTGAACTTTGCTTAAACTACAAGTATGTGGATTTCTTTCAAATTTATTTTTAATTAATGATATTAAGGATAAGATCCTTTCTAAATGTACTTTAAAATTCACAATAAAGTTTCAGAAGTTGTTTTGTACAATGTTGAGGCTTTGTGTTGAATTTTCTTTTTGAAATCTTTTAAACTGATACCTCGACTGAGTTCTGTGTTCCTTGAGCATGTGTAAATCTGTGTTTGACATCAACATGGTTAAAATCATACATGTAATATTGCAAAATATGGTATCTCCATTTACCTAAGTTCTGTCTTCATTAAATTATGTATTGCTGCTCTGTTGAACAGAGCAACTACTGGCACTTCTGTAATTTCTTCTGGAGATTCAGTCAGTATTCAAGCAACTCTGTATTGAAGGGTGAGATAAAATGAGTTCTCTGTTTTGTGTAACAACTTCATCCAGGAGACAACAGAGAATGAGTTGTATGGAATAGTTGAGTAAACACAGAGAAAAACTTGTTATCTTTAAAATATCTAAAAACCTGGTTCATTGTTCCCGGTAGGGAAGGAGGAAAAAAAAAGTAAATATGACA